TTTTTCTTCTTCTTCTTCTTCTTCTTCTTCTTCTTCTTCCTCCTCTTCTTCTTCTCTGTCCTCTGAAAACCGAAACCCAGTCGGTTTTGTTTTTCCGATTTTCATATCTTTCGATCCGTAGATCGGATCAATATGATTCCTAGTATTCTTTTTATAATTTTTTTTTTCTTGACTATGGAGGATTTAAGAACGCCGGAAGTTCGCTCACCGTTCTCGGATGACCCTCGGATCTCCGCCTTTGGGTTGAGGTCTCGGCCAAATTTCTTCACAGATTTTGAGCGTAATCCTCTGTAGATTAACATACTCAAATTTCAGGCTCTAACTCTTACTGTATCTCACAGATCTAAAGCAATTTCGAGAATCTGGATTCAAGAACTTTACCTTTAGATTTTTTTCCTCGTTTCTGGATGGTTTTGGACGATCTAAAAGTTAAGAATGTTCTTCTCTAAGTTCTGTGAAGATTTCATGAAGGCTCGGCCGGAACCGGACTCCTCGTGGCCGGAGCGGCGGTTACCTCCCTCTCTCTCTAGAACTTTCCTTCTCTCTCTATAATTTTCTCTCTCACTATTTACATTCTTTTCTTTCCGCACTTTCTCCTTCTCTTCCTTTTCCCCTTTATTTTTTTTTTTCCTTTTTCTCTTTTATTCCTATGTTACTAAAAAGGAGGTATAATGACCAAATTACCCTCCAGGGATTTACCTTGACGATCCTTTTAGTTTTCTATTATTTTTCTTTTATATTTTTCTTCCGTTCTTTTATTCCTCATCATTTTTCTCTTCACTCTCATCTCGGATTTTGGTCTTTAAGACCTTCAATAAACTTGAGAGAGATCGACTTTTAAGGTAAACTTAGATTTTAAACTTTCAATTGAGGCTCGGGTATTACATTTTATTTATTTATTATTTTTGTAATTTTTGGCGTGTGATTCACAGTAAAAGATTCCATCTTCTTTATTCACGATTTAATCTTGTTTGCGGGGAGAATCCTCCTACAGAACTGGACACTCCTTGTTCTTGTTTCTGCTAATATCCAACCGAAAATAATAATAATAATAAAAAAGTTTAAGCCTTTGGTACAATTAACCTCATGGACTCTGCCAGACCACTCAACCTCATGGACTCTGCCTCGGCGGCCATCGCTGAAGATTTCTTTCACGGACTTTCCCTCGGAGCCATTAAGCAGTCGGTGGCGTTCGAGGCATTAAGGACTCTGGCCCCACTCCTGACGTCACCTCCTCCCACCACTGAGGATGGACGGTCCAGATCAACCCAAGGTCGCGCGCAGCCCAACTGTAAATTCTATAAAATTTTCAAACACCAGAAGCTTCATTCTTCTAAATTCTGTAGTTTATTTATTTTGTTCTTTTGTTGATTATGGATCATTCCACACACGTTACACTTGTCACAAAACCAAGGCCCAAACAACCAAAGGTTTTATGTCGTTTATTAATTTTTAAAAAATCTTAAATGATTATTTTCCTCTCCATATATTGAAAATATAAAATATATTTTGTGGTTAAAAAGTTATTAAATTATTGCATTCTTCGCCTATGAGCAGTATATCTTATTTTAATACATAATATATAGTTTTTTTTTTTAATTTTAAAATGTACAAAAATAACGACCAACCTATAGAAGGTATCCATAGGTATGGAACCTTATGGACGAATCAATGGCATTAAAAAGTCAACAGGATGTAGTAGCGGTTTCTGTTTCTATTTTTCTATTTTCCAAGAAAAAACAAACAAAATTAATTATCCAATATTAAGTAAAGGGGGAAACGAAAAGGACGAAGGAAAAAAGAAAAAATAAAAAAGAAAAAGAAAAAACAGAGGCGATGGGAGTTCCCGCTCTATTCCGCACTCGTCAGAGCGCCACGCGACCTCACGAGGAAGTGGTCGACCCTGGTATCTAGCTGCTTCTCTGGCTATCTCTGAGTGTTCAAGAATGGTAAACTCCTCCAAGGACGACACAGCCACCAACGGCGACATGTCCATCGGCGATTCTCCGCCCTCCAATTCCAGCCTCTACTCCGAAGGCGAGAAGGTACTTGCATATCATGGCCCGCGCATCTATGAAGCCAAGGTACTTTTCCTTCTACGCCACTTTTTTTATTATGGTATTCGACTTTCAATTCATCTCTCTTTTTCCTTAAAACTTCCCTTCAGCATCGAGCTGTCAGCTCGTTTTTCGGTTGGCGCAGCTGATTTTGGGAGGAAAATTACAGGGGTAGGGGGGGGGGGGGGTTTTTTTTTT